TCTTTCTCTCTTTTCTTTCTTCTCATCCTTTTATTTTTTCTCCACCTCTTTCTCTCTTCTTTCCTTTTACGAAAAAGTGAAGTCTTCTTTTTTTTAAAAAATTTTATTTTATCAAAAAGTGAAGAAAGCCTTCATGAATATGGTGGGAGAGTGGGGAGGATAGAGCCCCCACGTAATTCTCTCTTTTCTCTTATTATTATTATTATATTTTTTATTTTATTTATTTATTTATTTTTTATTGAAGTGATTGTTAACTCTTCTTATTCACAAAGATTTAAGAAGTTTTGAAATTAAATTTAAGTTACTAATTATCCTACTAATTATATTTATGTACAAAATAAAATATAAAAATACATAATGAGGGTTTTGAATTGAAATGTTACAAAAAAAACCTCGCTCCCACCCCCCCACCTCGAGATATTATAGATTATACATTCCTCAAACTAAAAAACAAAGAAATTCACTCTAAAAACAAGCAGTGTTAATCTCTGCCGCATCTTTATAATTATGGGACAACCTCAAAGCATAGACAATGGTCTTCACTGCATGGCCGCACTCTTTGCAACCTGTGATTGAAGGCCCTCCTCCCAGCTCTCTCCCAAGTAATTGTGATCCCAAATATCAATCCAGGCTACTGGACTCTAAAAGCCCTGAAAAAATCTATAATTTGCTTATAGGTGTCTTTGTCCACCTTCTTAAAAAAGTAAACATTAGGGGCTTATTTGGTTGGCTTGTTTTTTATTTTTAATTTTAGTGAAAATGGAAAATAGGCTTAAAAATGCATTTGGTATGCATTTTCTGTTTTCATTTTTAGAAAATGTTTCTTCAAAAGGGTTGAAAATTGAAAACAATATAATGTTGTTTTCAGCATTTTTTAGGAGAAGTGAAAATGCAATAGTATTTTTATAAATAGAGGAATTTTCCATACTTTCAGTGTTTTGATTTTTTCCCTTCTCTTCAATCCTCTTGGCATTGTCGTTGATAATTACTGATGTTACCTTCTTTTCGTCATAATTACTGATTGAAATGTCGCCTTCTTCTCACCAACAATCATTGAAAATCATAGACCCTTGGTTCTTCTTCCTCTCCTTGCAATCGCCTTTAAGCTTCGCCAAATAGCATGATCTCTAGCATGAGCAGAAAGAGAAGAGAGAGGGAGGTTGTTGCCATAGGAGATGATCATGACGCTGAGAGTGCTTGTCCCATCGCATCAGCGACAAGGAGCACGATGACACCCCTTGGAAAAAAAGCTCGTGCTGTCCAAGGACCAACCAAACTGTTCTTGAAGAGAGCTTCAACGAGCACAACTTTCAATCTTGTAGTCACTAATATTATCATCATCAGCATTATCAGAGCAATGGACACTGATATTTACTATTGTCGGCCGTAACTTCATCTTCACCAACGGGATTTAACCATTAGAAAGTTTGGATAGCTTCATCATGCACGGCCAGGGATTTGGCAGAAGGGATGAACAGTGAAACGTAAATTTGTATTTTGGTCCCTAATCTCTTGTTTATTATTAAATTTGATCCCTAAACTCGATTTCAATCTCTAGAATTTTAATATTGTATAATTAAACTTCTATAAAAATCTGAAAACTCTAATTCAATTAAATCGTTATTTTCAATTTACTAAAAATAAGTAAACAAAACGCATATTCATTATTTTAATTTTATAAAAAGAAAAATAATAAATCAAACCAAACACATTTTTTAAAACTTAAAAATTTAAAAAATAAAATCATTTTTAAAAAATAAAAATAAACAAAGAAAAGAGAAAACATTTCACAAACCACAGGGCTTTCTTTTATTTATTTTCTGACGAGAGGATGGAAAGAACATACCAAGGGAATGCATGACACGCCTAATCTGGTCCATATCAGTCTACCCAAAAATAAGAAGATTATCCGCAAACATCAGATGAGGTATCCTGGATCCTCCCATATTAGCCCTCACAGGCTTCCAATGACCTAAAGGAACCTTCAACCAAATAAGATAAGTCAACTTCTCTGTACAAAGAACGGGGATGTAATCCCCGACTAACACCACCACCAGTCTAGAATGATTCAATAATATTACCATTACACAGGATGCTCACGTTCACATAAGAGATACACCTTATAATCACCTTAATGAGATTTCTGTCTAACCCAATCTCAGTCAGCACTCCATTTTTTTGTCACCCACGGTTTCAGCTTCAAATGACAGCCACATAAACGGTGAGAAAATACAAAAAGAGGTGATGGAACCGTGACGAGTTGAAGTTAATTTGCCACTAAATCTTTTTACTTTTTACGTCTATTCTTCTGATAAGTTAAAACAAAATAATTTTAACGTACAAAATAAAAGAAGTAAAAACTTGAATTTTTGGATTTTTTTTTTTTTGCGTGTCCGAATCAAACAGGTCCTTAAACCTCATCTAGAGATTGCTTTTCCACTAACCACCGGAGAAAATGAAAATAATGGAATTATTAAATGAATTTGAGTCATTTCACTATCATGGCTGATGAACGTTTGCGTCAAGCTTGGAGAAATAGAAATTTCAAGTTTACTAATTGGTCCTCAAGAAAAAGGGAAAAAAAATTTCATTAGAAAAATGTTCTCGAAGTGTTTTGTCCATCATAATCCTTCTTCGTCATTAGAAGGCTGTAGAACGGAATCCATTAGGGTTAAGATCTAAATCTCATAAATGGGACCCTTTTCTTGAAAAAGCATGACAGGCCTTCCTGTATTTATTTTTTTTTAAATAAAGTTTTATTAATTATATTTTATAAAAAATAAAATATTACAACACGTGAAGTGAACAAACGCTGTCCACGTCATAAATTAGCCGTGATTGATATCAAAGAGAACTGCAGAGAATATCCCTTCAAAAATCGAACGGACGTTTAATCCATGGCTGGAGACGAGACGAGACCAGCTACCTCATTTCGGCCATCACCTCGAATAGAATCAAAAACAGCGACGGTGCTACAGTTATCCTGACCTGAACAACTCATCCTTCTTATCCATAACGATTAATTAACGTACCCTCGCATTCTTCGGTGTAAATCTTTTGGCTCTTTATGGATTACAAACCCAGATTAAGATGGCTATAATCCTATTTAGAATATAAAATTAACTGCAATTTGAGGGAAGGCATGGCCAAGAATTATATATTTGTTGCTTGACAATTGACAGAAAATAGAATAATAAAATGGTTAACCTCACCAGTTGTTGCTTGGGCGGGAGGTGGACGACTGATCGAACAATCCTTGATGGAAGAGTATGATTATTAAATATTAAGGACGATTAGAATAAAAATTTGATTTTGACCTTTAATTTTTAAATCTGGATATGCATATCTGAATACGTCCCCACCACGCCTCATGCACAGCTCGTTTTGCCTTCCAAGATAGAAATTCTGACTTCTGAGCTGATGCTCAGGAAATGCATCGGTTCATTTTGTTTGTTGTTTGTTTTTTTCTCAAGTGTCTATCTACAAAACAAAAATGAAACAAATGCCACACGGCCAATCCGTGAAAGTTCCAATCTCGATCTCTTTGTGGCCCATCAACTTATGGTCTTGCGAGGCCCAATACAAAGGCGCCAGAAGAATTAACTAGCTGTGAAATTTAGGAGGTATTTGCAAATGCTAGAACTTACAACTTTTCAATTTTTTAATAATTGAAAAGTGATTATAGTGCTTGTAAAATTATTTTTATTTTTTGTTTTATTTAAATTAAGTTGTTAATAATGAAAAAATTTGAAGTAGGGAAGAGGCTACCTCTAGTTTTTAATGATAATTTTGTAATAAAATCAAAACTGTTTAAATTTATTTGAACCCTTCTACTTTCAAATTTTTTTATTATTTTCACATTTACCCCTTTCTCTTCTCTTCTTCTCTCTCCACCCATTGCCGAACAGGCCGCCACCACCATCGTCGAACAGGTTGCCCTCTCTCCCCCTCCCCCCTCTAGCCACTCAAGCCCCCCTCCCATGCGAGGGGGAGCTCTATTGCCGTTGCATGCGGCGACAGGGAGGAGGGTGCACGTGGTGACAAGGTGATCCATTGCTATTGCGCACGGCAACGGGGAGATCCATTGTTACTGTATGCGCCCTGTCGTTGCTGCGCGTAGTGATGGAGAGATCCGTCGCCACTATGCGCCCCCCGTCGTCGCTGTGCACAGTGACGAGTAGCTCCATCTCTGCACACAACACCCGGCAATCGGCAGGGCAGTTGGAAGGAGAGAGAGAGAAGAGAGAAAAAAAAGAAAAATTGTAAATGATGAAAAAAATAAAATAAAATAATTATATATAGGAGTAAGATAGTATTTTTTATTCTAAAAGTTTCTCAATAATCACTTTACAAATTTATCTTTTAAACCCTTTTTTGCTAATTTTGAGAGTTCTGTTTACACATTTGTAAACACCATTTATTTCTGATTAAAATTTGATTTTACTCACTTTTTATTAAATATATTCACTTAATCTGGAACCCCGGTTTTGACCCAATCCAAGGACATCGTGGTTGAATTTAAAAAAATATGATTAAAAGGAAAAAGAAAGGATGCCAAAAATGCCAAGAAATGGAATAAAAAGCATACATGTTTAGTGCTTGCTTTAAATAAATAACCAGACAAATAAAAAAATTGACTATTTATTTAATTTTAAGGCAAGCTTTTTAAACAAATTGGGATTTTCAAATAAAGACCGACTTAACATTTTCTACAAGCTAAAGAGGAAATCAAATGCCATAGATTATTGATTATTGTAGCTATAGTTTCATGAAAATAGTCCCCTCTCTCGAAGGGTTTCCTTTTTGGGTCTGAATTTTGTCACTCCACTACTTTTGGGCCTAAGCCCTGAACTGGTTCGAAGGGCCCACGAGAGAGGTTCCTAACCGGGTAGCGTACATATCCAGCGAATGGGGAAATCTCAGCGAACGCAATTGACTGGTTAAAGAAGAGCAATAAAGAGAGAAGCGGCGAACAAGAAAGGGGCGAAAGCTAAAGCAGAATGGATCCAAACGCTCTGGCAAAGGCCTTCGTCGAGCACTACTACACCACTTTCGACACGAATCGCCCGGGACTCGCTAACCTGTACCAGGATGGGTCTATGCTGACTTTCGAGGGTCAGCAATTTCAGGGCGCTCAGAACATCGCTGCCAAGCTCGCCAGTCTACCCTTCCAGCAGTGCCAGCACAGCATTACCACCGTTGATTGCCAGCCTTCCGGCCCTGCTGGCGGTATGCTTGTCTTCGTCAGCGGCAATCTCCAACTCGCGGGCGAACAGCATGCCCTCAAATTCAGTCAGGTGTCTCTCTTCAAACACGTCTTGCGCTCATGTGTGCTCGATTAGATGCGCGTGTATATATAGTTATTATAATGGGCATTCTTCGTGTGCGAATTATGCGTGTTTTGCTTATTTAGCACTTTGGGGTTTGATAGGTTTATGTTGTGGTTAGTAGGTACTGTTTGGTGGATCTGATGTTGCATTTAGATTATTAGACAGATTTGCAATGCCATTAGTTAGTTGTTAGGTCTTGTATGTCTACGATGTATATTTGTTTTCATTTAGATTATTAGACAGATTTGCAATGCCATTAGTTAGTTGTTAGGTCTTGTATCGTCTACGATGTGTATTTGTTTTTTTCTTTTCTTTTCTTTTCTTTTTTTTTTTTTAAGATTTCTCTTTGCACTCGCAGAATAATGACTTGAATAGTCAGAAGCTCGTGCATTTAAAGTTTGCTGATGGATCCTATGTTTCTAAAACCTTCAGTGTCTTTCTTTAGGTTTAACTTTTTGGATCCCACTTTTTCTGGCGGCTGGATCCTTGATTAATTCAATATGAATCACCAAGAGCAATCATACATTTGTCTTAAAAATTTATGGCCTTGACATGAGATCTTGATGGGCTATCAACTGACATTTTTAAGAACTTGAAGACTCTTGCTCGTTGGATGTCCAGCTATATTTGTTGGGCACTTGTCCCACATCTTTCTCAAGTGTATAAATGGGTCAAAGTCCTCAACATGGATTCCGATGTGTCAATGTAAGATAGGTATAATCATTCTCGTGTTCCTTGGAAATTACAACTAGAAGCATTGAGATTGGTGTCATTTTCTATATGGATGCATCCCTAAGGTTCACATGCTTGCTAGGCGATTGATCAAAATTTTGCTTCGTGATTTAGACAGTAACCTCAAGAAATTACCAGAGAAACAATGGACTCCATTATTAATTTGTGCTGAGACATATTGCATGTCCTTTAGCTAGCATCTGAAGCAAGTAGATGTTTGGAAGACTAGATCTTTCATGCAGTTTGGTTTTCCTCTAAATTGTATAGTGTTGATTGCCTTAAACTTCATTGGGGTGGGGCTTCTATTTCACTTTCGAATTCTGCTTTTAATAGAAAGAAATATAATGGTTGTTTTTTAGTTTTCTGTTTTTTCATTGGATTTCTTTGTTACCAAAATCTCTTTCCTAAAAGCCACTTCTAAGTAAAGCAAAATGAAACCATGGCTCAATTAGCCAATTGTATGTTATGTCACCACAATGTCTCACTCCTTGATATTGCAATGAGAATCTGACCTTTGGATAGCTGGATCTCTTGCTTAAATTATCTGCCTGTAGGTAACAAGGATGCACAGGTAACCTCTCTCATGCTTATATCATAAGTTTATAAAACACAGCTTGCTGGGTAAAGGATGATGTCATCTGGAAGATGTTAACTCAGTTGGTACTGAATGTGGAAGCATGAACCGGTGATATAGGAGATAGTGCATACGATCTTTCATTTTATACCCCTTGTGCAATGCTGCTTGACCATCCGTCTTCACCCTAGACCTTGATTATTAGCCTAAACCTTCATAAACTGTTTTACAAGTACCTTTGCTGGCAGCTATGAACTTGATTATGTGGAAATGAATTTGAGTTCTTGGTGGAGGTCTTATGAACATTTCATGAGCATGCAATATTGTGGTTTTGTATATCCTTTTTAATGAGATTAACATGTACAGTCAATTGTTTTGACTTGTTTGCTTAATGTCATTTCTCATTTTAAGGATTTGTGGTTAGTGCTGTTTATTCAATGGTCTTAAATTCATTACACATCGCAAGGAGTGTAATTTTCTGACATTTCTTTCCTTAAGAGTTCTAAAGATTCTTCTTTATCCCAGATACCAGATTTCTTATCAGAAAACATGTCCTTATTTTCTACTTGTAATGCCCTAAATATGTATTGCATGGGGATTTTTAAGTATTTTATATCATCTGGATTGCATGCAAGAGATGTTCCATTACAAAATTTGTCCTGTTTTGAGAATCCCTTGTTCTTGTGGATTGTTTTTGCTGCACCATTGCTGTAGTGGTTTATTATATCATCATAGTGTAAGTTCTTACTGTATCTTCTATCTTGTGCTCTTATTCAACTTGTGCTTATTTCTGACATGGACAACAGATGTTCCATTTGATGCCAACGCCACAAGGGAGTTTCTATGTGCAAAATGACATTTTCCGCTTAAATTATGCGTGAAGAGAGTTGGCTATTTTGGAATTCAATAGAGGTGCTTCCGATTGAATATCCGAGGCAGTGGAACTAGCTTTCAGACTATAAGCAGCTATTGGCAGTTGAAAGAAAGATGTTGAATTAACATCTTTTGCTTCTCTGTTTGCTTTGCCATCAGGAGTTGTTAAATTCCTGGACTTTTTGTTGTCATTGGATCGATTGAAGAAAGACTTGAATCCTGCCATTTTAAATGTTTGTGCTATTTGGTTGTGTATTTTAAATATTTTTGCCAGTTTGGTTATTTTCGGGATGTTAAACAATTCAAGCCTTCTCTGTGTTTGTGTGTGTTGTGTATTGATTCTATTCGTTGAACTTTCACTGGCGAATTCTTATGACTTTTAACGAAACGGATGATACATCATTTTGATGATAATGCTGAATGATGTGTCCTTTGGCTGTTTTGTCAAATATTTATCCGTAGAGCCAATGGTGCTTGTTACTTTTTCTTTTTCTTTGTTTTGGTAAAGGAGTCTTTCCACCGAGAGAGGTTCGTCATTTGGCTTTAATTTATATATGCTCTAGAAATTGAATAATGAAAACCAAAACCAGCATTTTGATCATCCACTCACCATATCCGTGGGTCAGGGGCGTAACCATGGTGCCTCACAGGTGTCGAGGTGAACTCGTTCCTAAAGGTTAATTTTTAATAATTTACATCTGCCAGAAATTGCCGAATAAAAATTCAGAAACCGGTGGCTTGATCAAGAGGGTGTCTATCTTTTACTTTATGAATTGAAAAAGCCAAAAAAAAAAAAAATGAGGCATCAGATTATTGATTAGGTGAAGCAACCATACAAGTTCTTTATTGTTGAGTTTCGAAAGCTATCTCTCTTGATTTTCTCCCACATAAGTCGGCGATAAATTACTAATAATATTTCTAAATAATAACTATATCAAAAACAAGGCATAAAGTTTCCATATCATGCTGCATCCCATCTCATTGAAAGGGCGCATGTGAAAAGGTGTCTACTGCAAGGAATTGCTTGATTCGCTAACGCTTACTTTTGACTTTTCCCTCCCGGACCTTGTCATCCTTTCTTGTCTCTTCCTCCCTTTGAGGGACCTCTCTTGCCTATATCCTTTTGCCTTTAACACTCCTTCGCCGCGCTGTTTCCATTTCTTCAGTTCTCAGTTTCATTTAGGGCGAGAAACTACAGAGAGCGAGAGAAAAGATGTCGGACTGGGGGCCAGTGTTCGTGGCGGTGGTGCTGTTCATACTATTGACACCGGGGCTGCTGGTTCAGATTCCGGGTCGCGGACGTTCGTAGAGTTCGGCAACTTCCAGACGAGTGGGGTATCCATACTGGTCCACTCCATTCTATACTTTGCTCTCATCTGTATCTTCCTCTTGGCCATTGGCGTCCATGTCTACGTCGGTTGACGAGGAATCTCCCCACCAAAAAAAATTGTCAAATAGCTCAGATTTTGAGATTTCATACTATTTTATTTCTCTGATATGTAATTTTCCCCCGTAACATTATGGTGTTGTTTCAATGTCTTATTCCGTTTCCTTTTATGCATTCGTCGTATTGAATGCTTTCTTAATTGGGTAATTCATGGTTGTTTGGTTTCCATTGTTGGAAAAGAAGAAAAAGAAAATACCTTTTTAATATGGTTTTATCAGCGTTTTCGTTTTGCATTACACTTGTTTTGTAAATCAATTGCAACGGTTGCAACATCCAATGTGCAAAGTAAGGAGTACAGCTAGAAACAAAATAATTTGTAAAATTTATGAGTGTTGTGATACTAATTTCATTAATTTTGCATCATCAGCAGGGAAAGACATTTGGTTGATGGTTCTGTCTACGTAATTAAATTAATTTTCATACCCAATCAGTGAAACCCGTTCTAATGGATCAAAAAAATAGAAAATTAACACGATCATACTTTAACATTCTCAATAATACCTTTCAATACATTAATAATTTAACATTCACAAATGCTCCTTGCTTCTTGCCATCTATGGCATCCTCAGCCTGTTATTAATTTCACATCCACGTCTACACCGCCGGGTAATTTTCCTTCATTTTCTCTCTTCCCTCATCCGGATGCTCTAAATCTGGTAAAACAGAATTTTTTTTTTTTTCCATATGAAATTTTGCAATATGAAGGGCGTGAAGGGGCAGAGTGAAATGTAAGATTTCTAATCTCAGATGCACCTTGATCACTCACCAATATCGATCCTGTGACAGCTTGAAACGAGATCTATTCCGCGCGAAAGAATCTTATCATTTTAATGTGTATTAATAGGATATGTTTAATGACCAGAGGATATGATTTGTGAATATATTTTGGAACAAATTTGGCAAGGCAATCAGATGGGTGACATATACAAATACAGCAGCTCTTTGTTGTTGTGAGTTAGCGAAACCACCATCTGGGATTTGAAATTTGGGCTTGCTCATGATTGGATTACAAGTGTATTGCACAGATGATTAATATACAGTTCTGAATTTCAATCAATTTTCAGACGTATTACAGCGTAGTCTGATCGATGGATCAATCAATATTGGTAGGCAACTACCGTAGCATTTGGAAGTTGGATGTAAATGGTCTGACATCATCTATGTAGCTAATCAATTTTTAAGCTGTAAACACAGAGCGTTGAAGGCTTTTCACAAAATTTAGAGACATGTTTCTTTCACACAAACCAAAACATGCACGAGAGGGACCGCATAATTTCGTAAAACAAAAGCCTGTACTTTCATTCATTAGATCGAAACATGAACAAGAGAGAACATTTAAGAAGAAAACAATCGGGTGAAGTAGGTTCGGATGGGTCAATAAGCGTGTATGTGGATGCCAATGGCAACAATCAAGATGGTGTATATACAAAAGTATAGAATTGAATGAACCAAGATTGAAATCCCACTCGTGTACATGTTCCCAAACTCTATCACCCTTGTTCTAGCCGGCAGCTGGAACAAGAGCCCTGGTGACAGAAGAATGAACAAGCCCACGGCCACCACCACTGGTCCCCAGTCTGCATTCATCTCTCTCTGTCTCGCTCTGAAATTAAGGATGTATGGCTCTGATATTACTCTGCAAGTATGAGTGAGAATGAGAAGAGTAATGAGGGCAGCAGACAAGTAAGAAGAACGTATGGGACTAGTTTTATTAGCAGTGAAGGAGAATGAGGCCACAAACTTGGCAAGAGAGTAACATAATGGGCACAAATGGGAGGAAAGGTATTTGATATGGTGGAACTTGCTTTATGATGGAACTCGAAAGAAGCCAACTTTTTCTCCACAAGCTTCTAATAATTGCCTACTCGACTGCTTCTCCTTTTTTTCACTTTTCTTTAGAAATAGATGAAGGTGGGGAGGCTTTAAAAGGAGATCATGAAAGAGAATTTCCGTTGGAAAATAATAGAAAGGAAAAATAAAACAATGAGGAGGTGTAAAGTGGGAGGAAGTAAAGCAAGGTGGGTTAGGAATTAATGCTTACACTTTGGATGTTCTTCTCAGGACGGAGGCTAAACGTGGCTCGCAGACGCGGAGTGCACGAGAGCAGAAGTTTTGTTGTCTCTAAACCCAAGAAGTATGTTCTAGGAAAAACTAAGAAGAAATCCATCTGCTCTATTTTGAGCTTGCAGAAACCATTCCCATGTTTTTAGCCCCCGGACAGGAATGTATTTGGCTCTTGCATGTGATAAGGCAAGAAAGATAAAGAATGAAAATAATTTTTTTATTTATTGTTTCATTTTCCTGTTATTTGAGAAGAAAAGAATTTATTGATATTGGGGCTAAGCCCAAAAGATAATATACATACAACGGTTGCTGCACTCTATAATTCAGTAGGTTCGGCTCCAGCATCGAACTGAGGCGAAAAAGATGGTGACTCACCATGATTTGTTGGTTCTGTCCCAACAAATAAAAAAAGGCACAAAATAAAAGAAAAAGGAGACTTATTAATTGACATTGATTGTGGTAAGGGGGATTCACTCCATGTGTATTTTCTAGGGTCTGCCCCCCCGCCTAGTGGATTTTTAACCTTTTCGTTGTGTAGTAGGAGAAGTTGGCCCCGGCTTTCATGGATGTTGGTAACATTGTTAATAAGTTAAATTTTAATTTAAATTTAATTTGAATTTGATTTAGATTTTAGATTTAAATTTTATTAAAATATTTAACAGATTGGATTTGATTTTAAATATTTATAAGTCAAATGAAATAAATCAGATATAAAACTAAGTAATTCGAATTATAAAAAATTTAAATCTAAATTTTAAATAATATTTTTGATTAAATTAATAATATTTTTTAATATATAAAATATTAATTAATTCAAATTTATTGATATTAAATTGAAAAAATTCAAAAATCAATATGATTGATAAAATAAAATTGTACAACCTAAGTATAAAAAAGTTATATTTTTTTGTTATATTAAATTTTTTTAATCGTATTTCAAATTATTTATCAAATTTAAATATGAATTAATAGTCACAAATTATATAAAATTTTAAATTAAAATTAAATATATAAATAGATAATCACATTTAAATTTATCACGTATAATCCCATTTTAACCAACGGGTAGTCTTAAAAATTGAGTAAACTAAACAATGCGGGTTAAGTTAAGCCCCACGTGTGTCTCGGGCCCAATATTGACGAAGGGGCTCCATTGGGCCCAGCAAACGCGGCGCTGCAGAGATTCAGGTTTCATCAACTGGAGGGGCGGGATAATTATTTTTACTCTCGGTAATTTCTGGCCTGCCCAAAATGAGGTATTTGAATTAATTATTCTTTTTAAATGTTATTTAATTTCACTTGATGTCATTTGTGCTCTTTTGGCGCAGGTAATTTCATATCATAACAAACCAGATCTTATTTGCGTTAAAATATTTTGAAAATTAAAAGCCTTTGATTTACAACTATCAACTCTGTCACATAACAGTTAAAAAAAAAATGTTGATCTTTTCATGGTTCATGCATAGCTTCATCTGTTGTTTTCTGCTCTGCCTCTGCGTATGTCTTGAGGACAAAGCTGCCGACCAAGCCGACGAAATGCGCCACGTGTAGGACTTAGAGCGTGTGGCGAACTTGGAGAAAAGGCGTTGAATTCGATACTCCCCTTGTTGTCTCCATCCCAAGCTCCTCCTTATTTTCTACCACCTGTCTTTCTTCTTGTTGAAGTCTCATTGATTTGTTTGTGTGCCCGTGCGAGTTAATTTTAAATTACAAGAGGAGTGAAAAAGAGAGAGGATAAGGGCAGAAATTAATGGGGTCTGGGGACTGGGGTCCGGTGGTGATAGGGGTGGTTCTGTTTGTGGTCTTGACGCCGGGGCTCCTGTTTCAGCTCCCAGGAAAAAACAGAGTGGTGGAATTCGCCAACATGCAGACCAGCGGCATCTCCATCTTCGTCCACAGCATCATCTTCTTCGGCCTCATTACTATTTTCTTAATTGCCATTGGCGTCCACATCAGTTCCGGCTAAACCAACCGAATTCATATGGCTCCTTTTTTTGTCTTTCCAACAGCTTCATGTTGGAGCCTGTAGAGGGGTTTCTGTATTCTATTCCCCTGTGCTTTTTATCGAGTTATAACCTGTCACGGTCAAAATGTCTTTTCTATACTTTGTAATTTCTATTGCACCAACTGGTGAATTCTGTCATTTCTGAAGAGTTTGAGATAGGAAATTTGCTCATTTTCTTTTTCGGAATTCTTTTCTTTTCTTTTCTTTTCTTTTTCGCTTTGGTATTTGGTGTGCATCAGTGCTAGAGCTACTGTCTTCAGTGTATTGTTTTATCTGTAATTTTGTGTGGTTAAAATATTTTCACTTCGATGCTTTCCTAACCATTCAAAAGAACACCAGTATTTTGCTAAACTTGCTAGGGAAAGATATTATTCATTGACAGATGTACGAAAATCTAGGACAAGAATTGTTAACAACTTACCCGCTTCACCCAGTACAATTTGAGCAGTTTGTAGGCTGAAAGGAGTGGGGATGGAGAATGGATGAAGAATAACCACTCGCTGAAACTGATCCTGTGACGCCAAGAATCTCAGTTCATGTCATCTTTAATGTGTATTATTGTTTATGTTTTCAGAGATATAGCCAGAGTATACGATTTGTAAATCTATCATATTTTGGATTTAAATTGGCAAGTCAATCAGATGGCTCACATGTACAAACAGTAGCTTTTTGTTGTTGTGAGTTGGCAAAACCACCACCTTCACCTGGGAATTCAAATTTGGGTTTGCTTGTGATTGGATTAAAAGGTATAAAATTCTGAATTTGCATCAATTTTCAGACGTGTCAGAGTATGGTCTGATTCGTGGATCAATGGCAGCATGTAACTAGTGTACCAATTGGATATAAATCAATGTTGATATTCATCAGTCTTTAAGCTGTAGAAACAGAGCGTTGAAGCTCCTTAAAAACTGCAGAAGCATGCTGTAATTGGATGCCAATGGCACCATCTAAGATGGTGTACATATTGAGTGAAGCAGGATTAAAATCCCACTCGTGTACATGTTCCCAAACTCTATACCACCCTCGTCCTCTCCGGCAGCTGGAACAAGAGCCCCTGCGACAAAAGGCTGGACAAGCCCACCGCCATCACCACTGGTCCCCAGCCCGCATTCATCTCTCTCTCTCTCTCTCTCTGAAATTAGGGATGTATTGATTCGATATTAATCTGCTATTATGGGTGAGAATGAGAAGACTAATGTGCCAAGCAGATAAGTCATAAGGATCTGTGGAACAAATTTTCTAAGCAGAGAAGGAGAACAAGGACACAAAACCCAGACGAGAGTAGTATAAAACCCTCCAGATTGAGTTCAACGTTAATGAGTAGATCATGTTATTCTTGCATAGGTTGCGCTTGGAATGTGAGTTATTGATTGACTCCATTTACAGGTTTTTTATTTGGCTTTCGCAATGGATTTGCTTCTCCAAATCAGGTTGGGCATTCAGGGGTTGGTGTGTTTTTGCCCCAAAACTGAATTTTGATGCCTGGATGATGCTTTTTTCTTGTATAGATTGCTAAAAATTAAGCTTCTATTGTATGGAGTTTGCTTTTTATTTTCATAAATCAATTGAATAGGTTTTACATTTTTATTAATGTATTCGTATTGATTATATTATTTTACGCAATAATTTACCTCAGACTAACCCTACTGAATCGCTTATAAGGGGAAAGGAACATGAGTAGTGGAACTTGCTTTATGGCAGCATTGGAAAGAAACCTTTATTTTCTTAATTTGGAAAGTTATTGCCAACGATGCCACCATTAACATTAAGAAAAGGAAAACAAAAAGAGAAACACATAAAGGGTCTAAAAGTCATTTTAAATTTGAATAACTTATAATAATATGAAAATTATCGACTTTAATAATTTATTAAATTAGACTTGTTATCTTAAAATACTCAATTAGTTTAAATTATTTAGTAACAATTTAAATATATTTTATATATCAATATATCTTATAATCACAATATGGGATATAACAAATTATCATAACATAAAGATTATAATTGGTTTCATTTGCTACGAATTTTTTAAAAAATGTTATTATTTATGATTCAAATGCCTTATTTTCTAATTATAAATTATATTTTAATATACTAATATAATATGAGCTGACTTAAACCGACATAAACCTCTGCACACGGGTGTTCAGTTCATAGATTTGTTCTCTCATTTTTCTGCCCAGAAGCCAGGCCGGGGCAGGGAGCCTCCACTAGTTTTTGACAACACAACATGTGAGAATGTCAGCTAGGTATTAAGACACCGATGTCTACGGTTCCATATGCATAATCTGGGCTATCCCAAGGTTGTCTTTTCTGGCTGGAGTCTGTGGTTTTATCGAGATTTACTCTCAATTATATCATATATAGACATGCTAGCTCCTGGATTTGCTGCATGCTGAGATAAAAAGGGCTAAGTAGCAAAACCACGTCGTACGTCATTTTAAAAAAATACTATTACTCAAACTGGCTTAGTTTTCTTATCAACTATTTTCCGACAGGGGCCACAAACAAATTTCACATGGAAATGGGGACGTCGCATAATTATCTGCCAAACAAAGACAATAATAGAACAAGACGCGACTTGGGTGATAATAAGGAAACCAGATTATTGATTGATAAAGGTCGACGTCACCATTCCCAAGGGCCAATCAGAAGATAATTGGATAACTTTCTTCCTTGTTTACGTATATGTCGATGCCCTCGTTTGACTTTAACCAAGTGACTAGTGGCATAGAGGCAACTATGCATATCAAAAAATACATTTTATGCGGATTACCAATCTTTGTTGGGCGCAGAATACGTACCTGTCCACCCTCCCGCCGTGTACATCATGAAAAATGCTAATTAAATATAATATTGCTAATCTGACGTTAATGTTGTTTGTCTGTGCATTCGATTAGAATAATGTTGTTTTGTTCGGACATCAACCGTACGTTGCAACACTGCAGCGGAGATTAAGATCCTTGCATGCTCTTGGAAGGCACAGTGGCAGAATCAAGGAAACCCAGCTGTCTCCTAGCTCGTCAAAATCTGTTTTTTTTTTTTATTTTATTGATATGCATTAAGTCTATGCGATATGTAGTGTTAAATTTGGAATTTCTTAGACATCGTTGTCTGTGTAGAAGTGCCACTACCAGCTCTTATACCGCAGTTACATCCGAAGAACATGAGCATGGTCCAACACTTCTACTGTTTTTGTCAAAGTTGTGAGAACAGAAAAGGCTGCTTGAATACAATGTTATTCACACTGTAATTCCAAATATATATATATGTGTGTGTGTGTGTGTGTGTAATATTCCTACTTTTGGGCTTTTTGGGCTTTTTTGGGCTTTATCTTATGTGACGAAATGGGTTTTCGAAGAAGTTTGACCAAACTAAATAACTCACTCTAAAAAGATCAAAGCACTTATTTTATTTTTTTTCCTTGAGCCGAAAGTCGCGTGCAGAATACATTGAACGTCCTCGTTTGGTGGCTCTTTTAGACTTGAGCAACAAAAGCCCCACCTTTCTCACTCTCAATCCTCACGTTAATTCTTTTCTTTGCCTACCTGATTTTCTGTATCACAGTACAAATTCCCCACGCATACGTATGCATCTATTTTTGCATCTCGCAAAGAAGAGAAGAGCACGTCGATGGATACGTGTAGGGTTGATGAAGAGTCCATCAAGCAAAATATTCCGTCTTTTGTTTGTGGTTCTCCCAAGTCCAAAAGTCCTGAATACAAAACCCAACCTTTAGACCTAATTTATGATTTCTTAAACCAATGAACTCATGACATGCAAACTTTTAACAGTACCCATCATGTGGGTGGAGGAGGATTCTTTGTATAGATGACGCACTTGGTTTACTTATTATAGATAATCACAAAAAATATTTTAAATTTCCTAATATACAAAACAGAAATATGTGAATTATACTCAAAAATATTTTTAAATTCAATAAAAGAATAACTTTACGAAATAAAAAAATTATCAAATAAATGTTAGGAACTGAAAATTATAATTAAAAATAGAAGGGATAAGAAAGAGATATAAAACTTTTAGGTAATTCAATATAACTAATTTACATTTATGAAATATAATAAATGAATAATATCTCTTAAAATATTTCTTAACAGTAATAAAGAGTTAATTGACAAAATTAGAATTGCAAATTTTTAAAAAATAAGTTTACGATGTCAACTTGTCAAGGTCAAATTTTTAATGCACGTTGTATGTTTTGTCCTCGTGAGACAATATGAACTTTTACTTTCCAAAGAGACTCTTTATATTTCAACAGACCCCTTAGATTTTTCTTTTTGAAGAAGTTCAGGATTAGCCAGATTGGGTTCATAGATGCAATTAACATTAGGCCGTCCAACTCTTTGATTAGATTGTCTTCTATTACCTCACCTCTCTCCTGAATTAATTTTTTTCATTCCCTATTAATTACTAAAATTAGAAGGTCGGTTTTGCAGTCTGAATATCATTTGTGTATGAATTATCGTTGGCAATTTTTTCTCAATTAACAATTTTAACAAATTAGATAAATAAATAAAGAAATAAATGGCCTAAATTAGATAGCACGCACATAGCTAGGCTCCATTGCGTGCCGCCCACTCTTCTCTCTCCTCTGTCAAACAATTTATTGATTTTTTTTTTAATGGAAGAATCCTTTCTTCTGCCTACGCGTACGCCTCGTGCATGTTTTGACTCCGCAGCAGTTATATAAAAGGAGTACCAGTAATCCATCATCCGGAGAACCTCATTCTTCTTCCCTCGAATCTAGCAAATCTCTCTCTTCCGCCATTCCTATAAAGCTGAATTGAACTGCAATCACCTATATTTGGAGAGCAAAAGTGACCAGACTCCGGAGAGATAGAATTTATATATGTATATGCATATATATCTAACTATGTCAATCTCAGACCCTTGGTCTGATTTCTAACAGTACCAGTTCCAAGAAGCGATTTTGGACACACCCCTTTAATTTTTTCTCTTCTTGTTGACGAAATCATGAGAAAGACTGGAGGTTTCAGGCTCGGACGCAAGTTCGTGAAGGTAGTCAAATGGAAAACAAAACCCAGAACTTATCAGAACCAAAACCCATCAAGCTGTAGGGTAAAAGCTATGTCGAAGATCTGCAATTGGGGTCGGTCTCTGATGCACGGAGCTAAAGTGCTCTGTTTTTCAAGGTCCAGTCCCGGGTACTTTCGGTTGGAACACGACCCAGTTGATCCGCACCAGGCGCCGAAGGGGCAATTGGTGGTGTACGTCGGTGAGAAAGAGGACGATGCGCAGAGGTATTTGGTGCCGTTGATTTACTTCAACCACCCTCTTTTTGGGAGCTTACTGAAAGAAACTGAGAAGGAATACGGGTTTCAATACGCTGGCGGAATCCAGATACCGTGTCGGTATCCGAGTTCGAAAATGTGCGAACAAGAATTGCCGCCACAGGCATTGGGGGCGGCAGTCGCAGGTGGTGGAGCTGGAAGCTCCGGTGTTTGTTGGGCTGACGAATCAGATGGCGTGATGGTCTCAGGATTAATTTTTTTTTTTTTTGCCTCTCTCTCTTTTTACTTGACATTAGGCGACTTCTTTGCTTTATTTTTCTTTTTCTTTTAAATGATTTTTGTATTGGAGAGCATTCAGTTGTAAATGTATCCAATTAGAGTATTTACTTTTTCTACTGAACTTTTTTTAAATTTCATATCTTTCCTCATTTGTTTATTTAACAATTAATATTTAATGTCTTCTAAGATATCACCGTAACACTTCCCATGGCGGAACATTTTTCAGAATAAATTGAATATCTAAAGCGAGGGGAATCAACCAAACACGCCAAAGGAAGAAGGATAGAAATTACAAAGAAATTAGTTTGAATGACCAAATGGAAACATTTTAAAGTCCTTTGCATTAATGTATGAACTTCAAATAATGTAAGCCATGTTTTAGTATGAAAAGTTTAAAATTTTATGATTTTATTAAAAATAAAAAAATCTAGGAATTTTAATTAAAGAATAAGTAATTTTTTTGTCAAAAAAAAATGCAGAAACTAAAATTTAAACCCAAAGGGGATGAATTTTTTTAATAAAATCTCCAAATCCAAATTTTTAAAAAAAACTTGGTACTCGTAATGGCCCAAAACTTTATTTTGAAAGCAGAAAAAAATATCTTTTTATAAAATCAAGAGTGTACTGAAAGAAATTAGATTTGTTTTGGGTGTTTTTGTAAATTTTGAAAAGTTTGGAGGCTAAATTGAGGGAAGGGGGGGAGTTAATTGAAAAAAATAAAAGATGTTGGGGCTGGACTGTGAAGGGGAGAAAGAACCTTTGGCTAGAAATTGGCCGAAGGCTTTAAAAGCAAAATTTGCTCAAATAGAAGCAAGACAACTTCTCATAACCTCAGATTTATATGTGAGGATGAGAGGCGAGCCTCGGGGTGTGTTCAATTTGAGAGTTTAAATGAGAAAGAGGGAGAAAGGGAGTTGGGGAAGGCCAACGGCACTGGATGGGTTTCTCTAAAAATTTTGGGTGTTTCGGTTGAAATTTCTTCTATTAAAGGCTACTAAGGAGCTCGAGGGCCATAGGATTCGATTTAGTAGGTCTCGAATCAATTGGGCAAGTTGATTTTTGCAAGATTTTTGGTTGTTGGGGTATCCGAGTGTGTCACCAGAACCCAAGTGTCACACTCCACCCCGTAACTCGAGTGAGGTGTAATAATGAAATAGGATTTAACAATCTCCGATACCCGAGATTCACCGGAGAAGGCTAAGCCTTATTCAACTATCGTACTTGCTAAGTCCTCTATATAACTCACATCCAAAAACTGAATAACATAACAAAATTTGACATATCGTAACTGGAGAATTAAGTCATTATTATAACTGAAAATATAATTACTTTATATAACTTCTTTTTTTCAAAATAAAATCTACATATAAGCCAATTATTTAATTTTTACTCCTCAAGTAACAACCCAAACCAGTTACTATTAACATAAGTGGAGCCCAACCTCTCTAGACTCGAAATGCTGCTGTGCTGGATGCACTTACAAGTCTCTACTGTTGAAACCTGAAAAATAAATAAGTGATAAGACTTGTGTCCCAGTGAATGGTCTTTCAACTAAAACCAGTAAAATAGGAATATGTTAAATAATACTATAAATAAAAGTAGTTCGTAAAACTGGTATAATTGATATAGAATATCACATTGTAAGATATCAATTTAGTGATCATAATCTAAAAATAAAGCTAATTCACCCGTTGAGCCTGCAGATCCAACCATAGCAAAAATGTCATAAATGAGTTAAGGATGGAAGCAAAAACATAATGACTCCATAAATAAATATAAGGTTTGGCGTGCACGTAAACATAGATATAACATAATAAGAATTCACTGGGTGCTACTAGTCATGAGACTTGTTCCATAGGACACCACCCCCATGGACGAACACACATAGTTTGTTGGTGTCGTAAAGCCCCATCGGACAAATAAATCATATAGTACTGTCACACTAACGTAGCTACCCAGCGAATTATCCAGGTGAATTACAAACATTCACATATATAACATACGACATAAAAATGAGATTTCTATTTCCATTTCACATAGCAAAATAATCACAACATATAAATAAAAATATTTCACAAATAAAACTTTTAGTTTTGAAATAAAACATTTATTAGTAAGAAATTATTACTTTTACTATTTTAGGAAAATCTTGAATTTAGGAAAAAGACCACTTACCTTTACTGATACTGTGTGTCCAGACTCAGTTCTAATGGTCTCACTGACCGGCCGATATATTTCTTCTAAAGTGTAACCACATACGCTATCAATAACATGCCAAAACTGTGTATGAATATATGAATATGCTAGTGCATACATGAGATATATTCCTAATTAGGCTGTTTTCTACCCTTTTTACTTGGGGTCAAAATTTTCACTATACTCATACTCCGAAAATTCTCAAAATATTAATATATACTCATTGTCAAGCTAAGTATACTGAAGTATGGTCACGTTCACAAAAAGAGTTATAATTATTTTTTTTATGAAAAATAAGTCATAGGTAAGTTGGCGAACTTTAAGGTTGGGCATTAGACAAATTTTAGTATAAATTTAGTCAGACTTTATTAAATTAACTTAGCCACCTTTTTAGCAAAATTAATATGAATTAATAGAAAAAATTAATCTAAACTAGTAGAAATTATTTATTGATTTTTTTTCGTCACAAAAATAGCACAAAAACTAAAATCTAAACCGATTAAATGAAATTAAAACACAAATAGATTGAAAATATAAAAAAAATTAATTGAAAACTTACTCATTAAAATTTTCCTTCGCCTGCATTTCATTCGCTGCTCTCTCTTCTTCCCGAGCTCTCCTTTCTCTCTCTATTTTCCTCTCTTTCAATCGGAGACATCATCCATCTCACGATCGGAACAATCCAGCCTCGTTCCATAGCTCAACTCCCCACATGTCGAGTCAAACAAGTAAATACATACGCATCCAAATCATGTCATGAAAATTGATAATAATATACTAATATGACTCACTGTCAGTTTATAAAACATATAACACATATCCCAAGTAAAAAAAAGTCGAAATACCATAAGAAACATAAAGTCCATCATGCTTGGAAAATATCATGTAAAATGCATGCATAGAGAGGGTATCATCACTCACAGTAATAGGTCGAGTCAAAAAGTAAAGTCTCAGGTCACCTCACCTAACTCGATGGTCCGGGTGTACCTCTGCTGACGAATCTATAATCAAACCACACAAAACCGTCACCATCGCCAAAGTCGGCGCAAGAACAAACTCAAAAATCTCAACCTAGGCTTAAATCTCAACCCAGCGTCTTAGCACGCATCTCGAAGCACCACCATTCATTGCTGGAACCCACATGACTCACTAGAACTCAACAATTTTGCTCAACAACCCCCCAAAATAATGAACTAGCCTCCCCAACCCTTGAACTGGAATGAACTGGCCTCCAAAACTTTCAAATCGGCCTAACCCGACCCAAAACTATCTCAAACTCAATCTCAATTTAATTAGCCACAAAACCTTAAAAAATGGATCTAGAAGGTCCAAAAACCCTAGGAACCAGTTTGAAACTGCTGAAAAGGCTTTAAACCAGCCTTATACCAGACCGAAAACCCTAATTTTAAGCACCGGTTCACCGTGAACCGGATATCCAAAAATCCCCAAATTACATGGGTAGCTAGGTTTCATCATGTTGAACCAAGAATCGGTCTAAAAATGGGTGAACCGGCCGCTGAAGGGAATCACACTAAACCAACCGGTTTACCTCGAACCGACCATCCAAAAATTTTCGAACCCCTTTGATCAGATAGCCCTCTTCCCAATGAACCAATAACCGGTTCAATTGCCTAAAGAATCGGCCTGAAAAGCCTCGAACCGGCCGGTCAAAGCTGGCCGGTTCACTTGCTCTAAGCCCTAACTCTTAATAATTAATTAATTACAGTTTATTCTATCCTTATTATCGCCCAATCAATCCTTATCCTGGTTACCCTTATTCTCAGGGATAACATATCCCAACCCTCATTGAGTTAACTCGGATGGGTTGACTTGTTTCTATCAACTCAGGGCTGAGTTGACTCTCCGAGTCAACTCGGCCCGGCCTTCCAGGCTTGCCAGGTCTGGGTCAGCCCGCAGCCTAGACCATGGATCCATCTCCCCTCCAGCCAGGCTGGCTCGGCCCAAGCTGGCTCGGCCCAATAGGACAGGACTTGGACCCTTCCGGTCTTGTTTTCCTCTCTCGGTAACCCAGGTCTCTGACCCGGGTGCCTGGAGCACCCTTCCACCACCGGAAAAATGGGAAAAATAGCTCAGGATTGGCTTACCTCACTCCAGAAACTTCTAGAAGCCGACGTCCTGAACCAAGCAAACCCTAGGAAGCTGAAAATCAAACAATCCTCCCGATCAAAGCCCAAAAACCGAACCAAATCCCTCGCGAACCCGTCAGACCGCCGGCCATTTCAACCCAAAATTCTCCCTCTTCCTCATACGATAGAAGGAAATGGTTAAGGGTTTATGCTCGCCTAGCTAAATAGGCCTAAATGGTGTGAAAATTCCAAGCAAAAAGTTTACCATTCGTCGATGCATGTTGATCTCTTAGGTCGGCGGCCGACTGCAGAATTTTTTTTTTTTTAGGCCATAACATCTGTGCTACTTCCGATATGATACGCTTTGTCGAGAGGTAAGATTCTGATTCTGATTCTGATACGGGATCGCAGTACGATATGTGATATGTGCTACCTCTGGCATAATATGTTATGTCGGGGGGTAAGATTCTGATTCCAATGTTGATTCTGGTTCTAATATGGGATCCTAGTACGATGTGGGATATCTGATTCTGGTTCTGATATGTGATACATTCTGATATTCCGACAGATGTTTGATTTTTTGATTCTGACAGTGCATATATGAAATATATGTGTTACCTAAAGCAAATGTGATTTTCCATAAAGCAAATGTGCTTTGAATGGTTACGATTCATGTCTCAGCAAGTCTAGAGTAGTACTGTTATTCACTAAGTTTTATACTCACTCATTTTTCCCCCACTTTCCATATTTCAGTTTTGATCGACAGCAGTAGCTTCAGCGACTATTTTTGTCACCGCTACACTGACTTGATTGTATAGACACTTTCTGTATATTTTCTTTTTGTACTCTAGAAGCTCCATGAACAACTCAGACGTGTTTTGTTTATATACTGACTATTTTCTGATATGAAATGCTATATCTGTTTTGTTCTAATTAGAGGCTTACTAGAGTTGGTAAGCTAGCCCTGGTGCCGATCACGCTTCCGATTTACCTTGTTAGGGGGAAAGGTCCCTGCGGCAGGATAAAATCCTCAATACAAATAAACAATTTCACCTTTGATGCTCATGTTCCCATATTCCATCACATGCAATCAAGCATTATACATGCCGTGGCTTGAAATTCTATTCATTACCTACAGAAGGCCACACCTTCTTCAAGAGAGGAATTCAAACTAAAAAGTTGAATCACTCTTACAAAGTATCAGCTCTAGAAAGAAAACTCCGTGAACAAGACCCTTTCTGTTAAATATGACCACTAAGTTACAAATTTGCTATCTTGTAAGTACAGTGGATCAAGTTATGCATTATTGAAAAGAAAATAAACAAAATCAAAGTTCTGACAAGGGGTGCATGACAGTTCAAAATCTTGTGACTAACCTCAATATACTATTGCTCTATTGTTTCTTTCTTTAGATTGTGGGTCATAATATTAGTGGGAAGAAGGAAATATTAATGGCAAAACTAGGTGGTTCAGAGTGTACTGAACAAAATATAGGAAAGTAAATGTGGAGAAGATGTAGGTACGAATGAAAGAGGAAATTCAACATGTGAAAAAAATTTTAAAAAGCCAACTTATCAGTAACACAAACGGTTGAACTGGTAATTTTGTGTCAAATAAGGGAATATAAGTACACGTACAGAAGAAACAACAGAATTATATCATACATCCCATATAGACAATGAACTTATCAGATGCTTGTGAAATATTCAGATAGTTTGCAAATGACCTTTGTTTTTCTTAATCTAACTCAGACAAATGAAACATGTCTTGCATCCAGGCAACAGTTAAAAATCTCCCAACAAGTTATGAACTCTGGAGGTGGAGGGGGCCCGTTCCAGGACAGTATGGTTCCCAGTTACTCTCCTCTGCGTTTGATGTAGTTGCGATGTAAGTTTAAGTTTTCAGGAATCAAACATCTAAAAAAGCACCCACGTTCACAGTACTTCAATATATAAAAACTATGAGACTGTGACACCATTCAGTTAAACATTAAGTAATAAAATTCTAACCAAGAAGATACCCATCTCTTTATAGGAGCCAGACTGTAGGAGAGAAGGCATAGTTGGCGTCCTTACAAATAAACAGAAAATTATAATTAATTCCCCTAACCATTCCAAAGACTTGTAGCATGTTTCCTGCTTTTCTATTTTTCTACAAAGCTCAAGCATTATGTTTGATCACCTGGGCTTTCAATTCAAAAAGCCCTAAAGCCAGGATATCATGTAACTTCTATCCTTCTAGGCCGGAAAGTGAATATACTGCAGCAAATATATTACGGCTTCTTTGCTTGCAGCGTTCTAGCCTAGAAGTCCAGAAGCTACAATATTTTGGCTCAAGTTAAAACTTAAAAACCAAATACATAATTGCATAGTCCCAAAGTTCAGGCAAACAGATGTCACACTAAAAGAAATCTAAATGCCTATTTGTTAGGCTAACATCTTGAAGTTAACTTCAATGTACTAGAAGTACAGATAATTATTCAATTATAAAGCTCAAAACATCATTTCTTTAACTGCAATACGTTTAACATTTCATATAATGCCAAAAATAAACGAGCTATTTGAAACTCAGTAAGCACACCAAGGCCTCCTGGATCAGAGAAGTAGAGAAAGTTCCAGTCATTGGGCACGCTGTCCACAATCTTCTCACTTCCTCCTTTCACGCCAATTTCATCGCCCAAAAGCACGGCATAAAATTTCTCCACACTGACATGCTCGCCAGCCAGTGTAATCCAGTTTTCGTCATCCCACTATTCAGTCATGTTTCCGGAACATAAAACCCATCTGACAAGTTGTTTCCGAAACTGCCTACAGAAGTTTTTCCAGAACACAGGCCCAATTTTTAGAAAACTAAGGAGAAGTTGTTTTCAGAATTTTAAGAAACTATTTTCAATCAAAAATCAAAATCATACAAAAAAACTAAAATTTTAAGATTTTCAGTGTGACAAAAAACCAAAACTAAGAACAAAACATAGAATACAAAGCCAAACTACGTTCAACATTAACCGAAGAGATGTAACCTGTTAATCTTGAGCCAATTTCGGGTCTGAAATCCCAGAAATTAAACTTTTAAGTGGACATTTTTTAACTTGCGATGCCCAAAAATAAATACGAAAGATCAAAAGAACTACAAGAAAGAGAGAGAGAAATTATTTGCACTCTGAAATGAACTTTAGTTTGTACTTTAGGCAAACCAGAACACGCATCTTGACCTTGGGGTGGTTGATTTTGACGATGGGCCTCAGATTAACATCATTACAGCATCATTGTACATAAACACAACTATGTTCTGAGATGCATGGCATACATCTGCCTGCAGTATTTCATTTCACTTCGATTACGGGAAAATAAAAGAAAAGAAATTTTAGTCTGCATAGTTCGACAAGAAAATCGTTTCTACCAGATGTCTACAGATTCCACACTCGTATGAACCGGCGACAAGAACCGCCCACCGCGTGCTGTTTTCCTCGGGTTCTTCAACCTCTCCAGGCATCCAGATCACCTGGTCCCACTGGTTCGACCGGCCTCCACAGGCAGCCTGCAAGCAGGAGAAACAACGGCAAAATCAAAGAAATCCCAGAAAGATAGCCCTTCATGGTGACTGGCAGATTGTAAGTGAACTGGATGGAGAGAGACAGAACGAGGGGGACGTATATAGAAATATGTTTATATATCTGAATATATATGTGTATGTGTGTGTGTGTGTGTGTGTGTATTCAGATGTGTGTGTGTGTGTGTGTGGGAGCAGTCTGAGAAGCCTTGCAGAACGAGAGAGTGACATGTGTCCAAGGCTAGTTGAGGTCTGGCCTTTGCCTACGGTGCTTTGTGAAATTTTGTGCATCTGATTTGTTCATTCATGGGTTACTGTTGACTTTGTGCTGTATGGGTCTTAACTTAAGAGGGACGTCTCCGCGCGAAGCGCTTTTGCTCGCTCTTCTATGTTTATTCCACGTTTGACCTGAAGGTGAAACTCTGATCATTTAGAAGGGAATCTAAATACACAAGTACTTATAAGAGGGTTGTTTTTAGTTTTCTTGGGAAGCACGCTGATTACGGTTAATTAGCTTCCGAAATTCATGATCAGTGACTATATATTGGCAATTCAGTATAATTAGACCTGGAAATTGCAGAAAAATTAAATTTGTTAATCACACAAATAGTCTACTATTTGTCATATTAACCAATGAAATAAAGTTGTTTCAATTTTATTGAAAAATTCTAGTCGTTGGGTAACATGTATTGATAGACTTTTCAAGATCTACCATGCTTGCTAACACAAGAAAGAAAGTAAGGACCTACAGTCACATTATTGTTGGGATAATCCTGGAAAAAATATCATAGATATCCTCTCATTCTGACAAGTAAAATCTCCTGTAAACCGCCATCTAAATTCCCGAGCGTGTAGAAAACTTAAAATCCAACAAATGGAAGCTTTCAATACTTCCCAAGCGACGAATGCCACTTTAGTTTTAACTGGTACCACAAAGGAGAAACGCCCAAAATCCCTCGAGCCAACCTCGGATCAAACACATCAAACTGCACCCGACTTAGGGAATCCAGGAGAACTTGGGAAGGTACAGCAGGTAAAAGCACAGGCCGAGCTTCTGCAGGCACAGTTCCAGCCAATTCACGAGCCTTCTTTATGTGTGCATTAGCTACAGAAGCCATCTCAAAAACTGCATCAGACAGAGCCCCCCGATCATCCACTCGAATCTCTGGCTGACCTCCCCGATTCTCCAATAGCCCGTGTTTGCTTGCAACATCAGCTGGTATGTAGGAAAACAGACGATTCCGACTAGCATGGTATGGCAGTGACTTAATCAGCAAAAGGAGGCCACTAGCCTTACCAATATGTGAAGCCGCATGGTCAGCAACAGTGGACGTGATTCCACCTGACTGAAGGGTTAAGTACAACACAGTTGACACGGTGTCCTCCGCGTATTTCTCCAACTCTTCAGTAGTTTTGGGGATATCACTAACTTCTCGTTGGGCATCTTTGATTCGAGCTTCGATGGAACGCTTCAGCCAGACCTTGCTAATTCTGTGCTCTGATATTATTGACGAAAGGGCCTGAGCTGTTGGGTGCTCGATTAATTTGTTGGAAAAGATCTTATCTATAGTTTCTTGCCACCAGAGCAGGCGCATGAGGCCAATTTTGGGATCGGAAGCAACATCCATGGCTCTAGCTGTTTCAACATTGAAAGCACGGAGAGCAAATGCAGCCTTCCGCATCTCCAAAGGAAGTTCAAGAAGGCAAAGATAATGATGATAGTCATAATTCCGTACTTGCTGTACACAATAGGAGAGAGCTGCCCGTAAGCCACCCGAAGCAGAACCACTCATGGAGTCCCTACCTTCCTGCTGCAAAAAATAAGCTGCATAAAAAGTGAGTTATTTATCAATAGAATGGAAACAGTGAAAAAAGAATACCAAAATAAAAGAAAAACAAGAATGAAACCAGAAAATTTATTGCCCAGGAATCTCCAACTAAAATAAGAAAGAAGATTCCTCTAAGCTCTGCAACATTTAGTACACAAACCAACTGCTACTCCAGTGAAAGTATAACATCCATTTGAAGAGGAATGTCGTGTTTCTACTTGTATTTGTTGCATACTCAGTTCTTTCCTGTTAAAAATTTGTTGCGCAAGCATATCTATATGTTCAATTCATATTTAACATTTAAAATGTACTTAGAACCCAATAGATAATGCCCACAATATTTTCAAATACATTTAAGCCTCCATAAAATGACATCTAGTGCTTGTTCCCTGGGATGGTGAAATGCTACCAGAAATGACAACCAAGTCCTCCATGATAAGCAGGAGACAGTCAATTCAAGATTATCAAGTTTAAGGAAGCCTTTTCCTTAAATTGCTAACCAATCAATTTTGTAAGTGTTGGGGGAGGAGGCAGGGAAGGAGTTGAGCAAGTATGATTTTAATTTACTATTCAATGTTCCATTCAGGATTTTAGTCTAAGATGACTTTTTTTGGGGATGTACTCAATTGATCACGGCCATAAATCTTTTCTCCATTCATTCCATCTCACTTCCACCATGAAGAAAATTTCAAAATGGCGTACGCCGCCAGTGGTTATACTAAAAACCATTCCCTGTTGATTTCGATCCATAGGTCATTCTTCAACCTTTTGGACAACACATGGACATGGGGCATTTCTGCATCACTATCACATATCATCCTCAAGAAGAGAGGAGTCCTTTTTCTTTTCTCTTTATATTGAGATGAGAGAAACATAATTTAAAAGTCAAGATTTAATTGTTGCAAGAAATATGTTTATGCAGTTTTTTAGAATTTAGAAATGTAAAATTCTTCTCATCAAATTTAGTTGCAGAATAATTAATCTCTTTTAACTTTCATGCAATGGTTAGCTCTTTTATAATTTGTTTTCACAAAGAAGAAAAAGAATAAGTGAGGACATGGGAGGACATATGTAGCCATATAATATACTGGAATGATTAGTTTCCCATGAGTGACAGTATCTTAGCCATCTTTATCTTCCTTTATTAATGGAGAACAACCATGACTAGGTAGTTCACCTAATAATGTTCATTATCTCTGATTCATTTGAATACAGTAGCTCAACTACTAAACGAGTACAAGTGGGACTCCTCGCAAGTAGGCTGTATTGAATAATATGCTCTGAGAACCAAAACCATAGGAACATAGATTGTATCTACAAAGCATCAGAAAATATTAATAAACCAAGAAAGGGGGCTAACTTCCTGCATCTCACCATCAATTGGAATGATGAAAAGGAACTTGGGCTTGTTTTCTGCTCTCTCCTGCCCTGGCTCTCTTGACATTTTTTCTCTTAAAACTTTTTGCAGTTTTTGTTTGATTTTTAACTCTTCAGCGAACATGTACAAAATGCATTTTCTGCAAACTAATAACATCAGAGAACAAGTCCATCTTTGGCAATCTGAGCATATTCTTAAAGAACCCAATATTTCATCACTCTTGATCCTTCCATGGTTAGTGCCAATCCTGTTGGCCTTTGACTAATTCTATATGAGGGTAAACCATGTTCAAATAAATTCAATTATCATGTTCTATCTTCTTTATTTATTCCATACGAGGAGAAAACATTTGAAGTAGGAAAATGCAACCCACTAAAATGGATCGTGGCATCATAGAACAACTTGAGGCAATCATTTTATTACTTTTGCCACTACCAATTCATTTGGTGATGTATTATAATAATAACTCTTATCAATTTCATCCCATCTAACAAATTTTGTCTCCAAACATATTGTTGCTTCAAGCATTTCAAATGTTGAGTCATGTGTAGTGGGTACATCCATTGGCGCATTCTTCCCACCCTACATGTACTTAATTCCTTTTTTTTTTTTTGTTTACATTTTGTGCACTTAATTCTTGCTCAAGCTTTAGTTTTGCAAACAAGGACCTAGCCCTATCTTACCAATAAACTCCCTATCAGTTTTAACCCATCTTGTACAACCAAGCTTAAAATGTTAGCAGCATTATATCACATATGAAATAACTTTCCACTCAATTTTAATAGATGCCCTGTCTTGTATTTTTCAATTCCTCTGCTATTCATTAATCAATATCTCTTTTTTGTTCTATATCAGTTGGCATCTTCTTTCTCAACCACTCCTGTAGCATTGGTATGCACTATCTTTAAGAAGTTGCTATCTCAAAAGCTTGACCAAAACATCATTGTTCAACACATTATCAATTACAATTAAACAGAGTGAAGCATAATGCGTGATGCCAAGCAGTACAAATATATGATGATTCTGGAGGATGTCTGACAAATTAATAATGATGCGTCTGCACTTTTTGCCGGAGAATTGATATATTCTGTCTAATTATCAACAAGATCACCAGAATTAATTGATTCTTATAACAACAAATGGTACAAGTTACTAGATATTTAACCTTGACAAATTATTACTTAATGAAAATTTGGTAACATTGGTTTACAAGGTTGTTCTTCTTTTATTTAGTTGCCTGATAAATAACTATAAGTTAGAATCCAAAAGAAAAATTAAGGATATTTCCTTCCAACAGTGCTTAAAAAAAGTCAGATTTTATTATCCCTCCACATAATTCATTTGTTAATTTTGCTGCTGTTATTCGAGCTGTATCTTTAATTGCTTTTTATGTTAACAAACTTCTTTTTTATTCACTATTTAATTTCTCTTTCACCTTCTTCTTTTTTAACTTATTCCTTGTTGTCTATCTTCAAAAATTTGTACCCAATGTTTTACAGCCTGCAAATTACGAAACTGAGTTTTATTTCCAAATCAGATTTTCAAAGTGTATTTCCCAACAATTATATTGCAAAAAGAAGAATTACAAGAATGAAAAACCAGGCAGTTGTTCTCCCAACTAAAAAATTAAAAAGGTCAGTAGCAAACAACCAAAATGCAGTGCAGCGGAGTTGCTCTCCATTCAAAACCCACTACAGGAAAATAGTAAATCAAACCTACTTACCTTGTTTTACTTTCTGCAGAACAGTCGCTTTTTCTTAGACTTTCTTCAAGTACTGCAATATAAGTTCTTTGTATTGAGATTTACGGTTAAACGAACAAAGAAAAAACATCAATTTTCTGTGCCACCATAAAGAAAGGAGATTGAATTGGACAGAGAGGGGGAGTGAGACTGCCTTGCGGGTGTACAAAAGTATGCTTTTGACTGCGAAGGAAATGGCCAAAGATGGATAAAGATTGACGGACCCCTCGGCTACATCGGCGGCAAGGAGGGAGTCATGGGACTTGGACCAGACGATATCTTAAACGCTGTTGTAGCGGCAAGGCGAGGTCGAATTTGGAGATGAATAGCGACAGCGAGACGGAGGAGCAGTGGCTACAGCAAAGCCTGGGGTTGGAGTCTCCAAAGAGGGGATTTGATTTCGAATTGTTGTCCAGCTGGTCTAAACCCGTAAAACACTGGAGATAGGTCCTTAGATCCACAGTTAACGGGCAGGGTCTGGGTCGGATCTCTTCCGGACCGGTGCATTTGACAGGTGAGTCAGCTTCCTCAGAGCGTCATATGATAAACGCTTGCGGAATGTTGAGTTCAAATCAGCCTAGTCCAGCTGCATCGAGGCTCCGGGGCCCGTTGCTGCCCCCCTTCATTTGGGCTTGATTGAAGACCTTTTCTGCTCCTTTTTTTTTTTTATCAATACTTTGTGCACGTGGATCAAGCGGCTTTAACATTAAAGAATCCACTACCATTTTCTTCTGGGCCAGACCAGAGAGTAGCCCATTTGGGTGCCCCGTGTTGCTGGTCGTGGCCTCATGAATAATTTCCAGCTGGGTTTCCTCATTAACTCTCTCTATATTTGGGCTTTGGTTTCTCTCACGGCCACAACTTCACACCCTGTTTTTGATTTTCATTCCGTTAAACTCTGTTTTGCTTCTTCTTTCCATTCTGGGTATTCTCCAGCAGGTACTCGTCTTCCTTGGCAGAAGTCTCCTTTCCATTCTCGTTTAAGCTCTCATCCGCGCTTGTTGGTTCCGCTGAAATCCCATTTCCGATGATTTTCCATTTTACTTTTTCCCGGGCAACTCTGCAGACCTTCAGTTTTTCCTCTGTTTGCAGATCCTGCTTGTTGACCCTTTGAAGTTTCCCCATCCAGTTCCGCACAGGCTCGGCAGCGGCGCTGTCATTTGCTTCAAGCGGATCTTTCTTCTGTTACTTCATATGGTGTCTCAAATCATCAATCTGAAAAATTAGCCATTTCCTTCTCGTTTCTAAGTAAGTTCGGGTCAGGCCTCGCTGCACCATTTTCCTTTTCCTTTCCTTTCTTTTCCCTTCGAGTTTTCCGAGACCACAGGCCGTACGGGTTTGGGTCTTCTTTCCCCCTGGCTTTCTCCTGTTCACCAGCTTGAACATGTTTCTTGTCGGCTGGACCCTGAGCGCCTTTCTTCTTCGCGCATACTTCAGCATAATGGCCAAATCTGACATGGCCGAAGCAGAGCATATGAAGCCTTTGTGTTCCGCACGGAACTTCCTCCCTTTGATCTTGAACATTCCAAGCAGAGGGATAGACAAGTCCACTTCGACGCAAAGCCTTGCGTACTTTCCTCTAGTCTGTGCTGCCGTTGTATAGTCGATCCTGACCGTACGCCCAATACGGTTGCGGATAGTCACAAGAGCTTGCCTTGTTATTCGATCGGAAGTTCCAGAATTCTTACCCAAACTGCAACGGAATTGATTTGAGACTTGGAGGGATCAAAGTTGGGGCACCAGTTTCTTACCGTCAGATAGTGATCATATGTCATCCACGGCCCTCCTGTCAAGGCGTAATCCAAGTCGCTGGAGTTTGTGAACTTCACTAGGTTCGTCTCCAATGTCGATGATGTTAAGAACTTCATGCAACGCCCGCGTTTGTTGAAGTCTTATTTTCAGCGCTTTAAAACCCGCTCTTCGGCCCAAAAGTTTGACAATGAGAACCGACTTACATGTTTTTATGAAGCTGGCCTCCAACTTGTTGCCGAAGATAATCTTTGGGCCTGCATGAGGGCCTTCCTGTTCTTCGATGCCACGCCATCCGGCCCCTGTACCTTTCTGGTTACCTTCC